GAAGGATGTTGACACAGCAAGGCTAATTTTTCCGTGTGGCTGCTGAAAGTGGTCCTGTCCCTTTGATATGTCTGGCATTCAGAGGAAGCCCCAGGGAGCTGTTTTGTCACTGTAAGCCCCAAAGAATTGGCTCCCTACACATTGGGTTACTTTGCCTTGGTCCTTGGTATGGACCCTGCAGATGAAATGAACATCTGTTCATTTCATCTGTAGGACAGTGGTTCTGTTTCCACAGAGGGCAACTAACTGAATGCACCCAGCCAGTGGGATTCAGAGTGGGAAATTTGAGAATGTGACACTCTTTAAAAGTACAGTGTCTCAACAGTCCCCTGTTCCTTGTCATCCGTCTAGCACCCCCTTCCCCTCTGCTCACCACATAGGACGGTTAGGATTCAGTATGTCTTGGAGGTGGGTATTTTTTTTTTCTCAAATGCACCATTTGATGCTGTTGTTCTCAAGGTTGAAAGGCACTAATCTTAGTGTCTCTAATTTTGATTCTTTCTCTCCCTTTCTCTTTTTGTGCCACTTTGACGTTTAGGACTTACTCCTAGTAGGGATGGGGGGAGTCACATGGGATACCAGGGACCAAACTTGAACTGATTGTATGCGAGCCAAGTTCCCTACCCACTGTACTATTGTTCTCTTAGGTCGGATCACAAAGGATGATAGTTCATCTATGACACTTAAATCCAGTGTGATTTGGGCAGTCTTTTCTAACATTCTCTTGGATTGTTTTTTTTTGGGGGGGGTCACACCTGGTGCTGGCACAGGGGTCACTCTTAGCTCTGCACTCAGGAATTATCCCTGGCTGTGCTCGGGGAACCACATGGGATGCTGGGAATCGAACCCGGGTTGGCTGTGTGCAAGGCAAACACCCTACCCACTGTGCTATCGCTGTAGCCCCTCTTGGATAATTTTTAACTTTTAAAAGTCATTGTCATATTAATTATGCTTTCATTTTGGGGCGTAACTTCAGAGACGCCTAGCCCAATCCCTCTCACTGTGTGTATGGGATAGTCAGTGTCGCTGAGGCAAAGAATGTGAGTTTCTACATCTTTTCCTAGTGAATTGTTATGGTTCTTTCTGGTGTTCAAGTTCTAGTTCCTTCATGGTCAATAAATCAAAGTACTAATTACATAGTTTGGTAGCTCTGGAGGGTTATTTGAGCCTTTTCTTGTACAACTGAAATACCTCCTGGGATTTAAAAAGTAAGTTTAATTGTTTGCTGTGCCATAGGATGATTTCAGTAAATGATCCCTTATGTTTTCTGGCTCTTAGAAAAAATAAAAGCTTCTCTTAAATTTACATTAGTGTGCACTACTTTAATAAAGGAGGGAAATAGAAATTGGCAATTGGAGTTAGAAATTGAAATTGCAAATGAGACCTGTGCTTATGTCTGATTATTTTATTACTAAAATTTTTATTATCTTTTGGGCCATATCCCCATAAATGCTCCAGGCCTCCTCTTGGCTCTCTGCTTGAGTGACCCCTGGCAGTCCTGTGTAGTGTCGGAGATCGAACTGGGGACAGCCACCTGCAAGACGAGCTTCTTGTCCCCTGGACTGTCTCTCCAGACCCTAATTCCTAATTAATTGATTAATTAATTAACTTATTAACAGTTACAAGCTTTCATGTTTGAGTTTCAGTCATACAATGATCGAACACACATCCCTCCACCAGTGCACATTCTCCACCACCAATATCCCCAATATATGGCCCCATTCCCACCTTCACCCTGCCTCCCTGGTAGACATTATTCTCCATACTATCTCTCTACTTTTGGGCATTATGGTTTGCAATACAGATACTGAGAGGTTATCATGTTTGGTCCTTTATCGACTTCCAGCACACGCCTGATTTCTATTTCAATGTGTGTTGGGAGTCATGGACTGTGACCTGGTAGGTGTCTGAGCAAAACCTTGGTAAACATTCTACCCTCCACCCCCGCCCCTACCCCTCACAGCTGAGAAAGATGCAGAAGAGAGACAGGAGAGGGAATTCTTTTTCTTGGTAATCTCAGATAGTCTCACCGCTCTGATTTTGTCACTGTCCTTACATCAGGCAGGGATGGTGACATGTTCTGCAGGGCTGGGTGAGTTCTTTTGTGTGGAAGGTTGAAATCTTTGAAGGCTTCATTTCTTTCCCCACCTGTCACCTTTCTTTGCCTCCCTGTCACTCCATTCAATCCTGTGCAATTAAGGATGATTAGGCGTTAAGATTAAGTGGAATTAGAATAAAGCTAATTACTCACACCCAAACTGTGAACTGAATAGATGCACTAGACATGAAGCGAGCAGAAATATCATGTTGTGAAAAATGTGATTCCTCCCTGGGGAGGGAAGGTTGGAAGTGTAGCATGTCAAGCAAGACAGCCGCTGCCCACAGTACCTGGCTCTGGCATGTAACAGGCCTTGTGCAGCTAGATGCCTGGCTCGCAGCTGCATCTCACTGCAAAGCAGCGTTAGTCTTTTTCTTTTTTTTTCAATGTTTAATCAGCAGAAATTCGTTTTATTTTATTTAAAAATATTTAAAAATTATTTTATTTTAAATTTTATTTGTATAAAGTGGGCTGGAGCTATAGCGCAGTGGGTAGGATGTTTGCCTTGCAAGTGGCTGGCCCGGCCGACCCGAGTTCGATTCTTCCTCCCCTCTCTGAGAGCCGGCAAGATACTGAGAGTATCCCGCCAGCACGGCAGAGCCTGGCAAGCTACCTGTGACGTATTCGATATGCCAAACACAGTAACAACAAGTCTCACAATGTTACTGGGCCCGCTTAAACAAATCAATGAACAATGGGAGGACAATGACAGTGACCATGTATAAAGTCGTTTACAATATTTGATTACATTTAATATTTGAGCACCCATCCCACCACCGTTACACCTTCCCAACACCATATTTCGGATCTTGCCATCACGAACCCCCACCCCTGCCCTGAAGCAGAACCCAAAGAATTGATTTTGTATTGCTTGTTGTGAATGAACCAGCAGTGTTAGTCTTTGGTGGACACTGTGACTATTGTAGTATTTGGTGGCCCCAGCATCCACTCCAGGAGTTCAGGGGACACGTGATTCCAGGTACTGGAACTGTGTTCTTCCAGCGGAGCCACCTTCTGGCACCTTCCCTTAGATACCTCCTTGTTATGCGGCTGATCAATAAGCGTCTCCAGATGGAATAAAATGTGTGGCCCTTTGGGGTCGGCTTTTGCAAATGTTTCTTGAACCAGCTTTTCGATGACCCGTGTAGTCCCTGCGTAAGGAATTTCAAAGGCAGTGCTATTTATTTTTTGAGGAGTGCGCTGGAAATTTGGATTAAAAACATTTTTCTTCTTCTTTAATATAGGGAGCCGATTAAGTGGCTGGGGGGTGATAGGTACTAAGTATGTGTTTGCAGATGCTTCTCAAGCACTGGCTTTCAGTATTTTTATGCCTGCGAATCCGGGGATGCTACAAATCACTCCTGTCCTCTTGAAATACTTATGGAAAACATTTAAGACCCACATCACTTGTCTTTTCCTGTGATCTCATTTTGACAAATAAATTGCGTTCCTTTTCCTTCTCACAGAAGCACTGTAAAAAAACAGGTAATTACCAATTTTAATTTAGCTAATTTTAGGACAACCTAAAGCGAATCTAAAACCTGCTTAGTTAATCAAATTGGTTAGTTTCACATTAAGTGTGGTTTCCCTGCCACCATAGTTTTGTACAAATTGAGGCCCAGCAGGAGGTGAATATGAGGCCATTTTCATGCAGTGAGGCTTCAGAGCCACTGAGGGGTATTTTTGAGATTTTCGATAACGGTATCTTCTAAACAAAGAGTTTGCAATGATTCCTTTCATTTGAAATGTGTTCCCAGTTTATCACAGGTGTTGCAACCAGCCCTCTCCCCATTTCTGGGTGTATATTCATTTATAGGTCTAGCTTGATTAAGTATCAACATATTTGGTAGAAGTGTGGGTCATCTCCCTTTATTATAGAGGTGGGCCTTTGCTTAGTGCCAACTACTACTTTGTTTTCATCCTATAATCCTTTCCAAATTACCCTTCTTTAAAGTTGAATATTTCATAAGCATTTAATTTTTATTTGTTTTTTTTTTTTTGTCATAAGAGGTTTCATTAGTTTATCAGCGCATCTCACAGGGTGCCTTGTTTTTGATGATCTTTTAAATATTTATTATTATGGGAACCTGTCCATGACTGGGTGCAAGGGACTATTCCTGTCAGTGACTGGGTGTGCGGGACCATTCCTTTCAGTGACTGGGTGCACAGGACCATTCCTGTCAGTGACTGGGTGCCGGGGACCATTCCTGTCAGTAAATGCGGGGAACCATTCCTGTCAGTGACTGGGTGTGCGGGACCATTCCTGTCAGTGACTGGGTGTGGGGGACCGTATCTGTCAGCAACTGGGTGCAGAGGACCATTCCTGTCAGCGACTGAATACAGGAGGCCATTCCTGTCAGGACTGGGTGCGGGGGACCATTCCTGTCAGTAACTGGGTGCAGGGGATCATTCCTGTTAGCGACTGGGTGCTGGGAAATGAACCTGGGGCCTACCACAGGTGAGGCAAGTGTTCTACACTTAACCACATCTCTGGTTTTCTAAGACATGTTTTGTTTTTAACTCAGAGGTAACTGTCTGATGCTCTTGGGTACTCACAGACAAAGATAGTGTCGTGATAGCAAACCAGCTCTTTAGAAAAGGAGAAATTAAGTGAAATTAAGTGTAGATGTGGAAATTTGGTGTCCATCACCCCTGGAAGGAGGGCATGTCTGCTCGAATGTGCAGTTTGGCCTTTGAGAAGATCCTTCAGCTTCCTCCTTCCTCCTTTCTGTGCCCTGTCCTGGCATTCTTAAAGCCTGAACTGCCCTCTCGGGACAGTCTCCTCAGAGGTGGGAGACGTGCGAGCATCTCTCGCCATGAGTACCTGGTTTCCGTGACTGACCGTGAGCAACGTCGCGGAGTTGGGCAAGTGGCTAAGAAGTGTCTACCCTGGTTCTTACAGATGGTTGTGGAGACCGAGAAGTGTGGCATCTCCATGAAGATGGCATCGCCTGAGGATGTGAGTGAGGTACTGGCCCACATCGGCACCTGCCTGAGGAGGATCTTCCCCGGCCTGTCCCCACTGTGAGTTTTCCTGGGGTCCAAGGGGGTTGGGCAGAGAGTAGAGCAGGGGGACACTTCCCCAGCAAGGAGGACAACCCGTCACCCTCTCACCCCCTTCCTCCTCCTCTCAAACTTCATCAGCTTGGGAAACCCACTACCCACCTACCCCCTTCTTCCTTCCCTCAGACTTCCTCAGCATGGAGAACCCATTACCGCCCCCCCCCCTTCCTCCTTCCCTCAGACTTCCTCAGCATGGAGAACCCAACACCCTCTCACCCCCTTCCTCCTTCCCTCAGACTTCTCAGCGTGGAGAACCCAATACCCTCTCATCCCCTTCTTCCTTCCCTCAGACTTCCTCAGCATGGAGAACCCAACACCCTCTCACCCCCTTCCTCCTTCCCTCAGACTTCTCAGCGTGGAGAACCCAATACCCTCTCATCCCCTTCTTCCTTCCCTCAGACTTCCTCAGCATGGAGAATCCACTACCCACCCACCCCCTTCCTCCTTCCCTCAGACTTCCTCAACATGAAGAACCCAACACCCTCTCATTCCCTTCCTCCTTCCCTCAGACTTCCTCAGCATGGAGAACCCACTACCCACCCACCCCCTTCCTCCTTCCCTCAGACTTCTCAGCGTGGAGAATACAACACCCTCTCATCCCCTTCTTCCTTCCCTCAGACTTCTTCAGCATGGTGAACCCAACACTCTCTCATCCCCTTCCTCCTTCCCTCAGACTTCCTCAGCATGGAGAACCCAACACCCTCTCATCCCCTTCTTCCCTCAGACTTCTTCAGCATGAAGAACCCAACACCCCCCCCCCCCCCCATGCCCTTCCTCCTTCCCTCAAACTTCTTCAGCATGGAGAACCCACTACCCACTCATCTCCTTCCTCCTTCCCTCAGACTTCCTCAGCATGGAGAACCCAACACCCTCTCACCCCTTTCCTCCTTCCCTTAGACACGACCCCCCAGGGACCCCACTTCACACTGCTGGGTTGCAGACATTAACGAGAGTCTTTCAAGTCTTACTCTTGAGAGAACGTGAGTCTGGAGGTTTCTGGCAATTCTTTAACCTCTGCTCTCCAGACTCAAAGGAGCCTTTAACCTCCAACATACCATGCAGTGGATTTTCCTCACTTCTCTTTGCAGAATGCCAGGGGTTGACTAGCTTGGCAGAGAGACATCACGCTCTGTGTGAATGGAAAAGAGAGGACTTTCATTTTTCTCCTTGGGCTCCATTTAGTAATAAGAAACTTCAAAAGGAAAAAGAAGACATAAATATTAAAAATATTAACCACTTTTATTTCTCTTAGTTTTCTGCATTGGGCTGGAGTGATAGCACAGCCATAGGGCGACTGCCTTGCATGCAACCAGCCTGGCCGGGCCAGGTTCGATTCCTCCGCCCCTTTCGGAGAGCCTGGCAAGCTACCGAGAGTATTCAATATGCCAAACACAGTAACAAGAAGACTCACAATGGAGACATTACTGGGCCCGCTTGAGCAAATCGATGAACAATGGGAGGACAGTGTTTTTTTCTGCATTAGGCATAAGGATGTTAGTAAATTTTGCCATATATGCCCTTGCATTTTTTTTTTCCTTCAGTCTTTAAAATCACAATTTTGTGCTTGGGTCACAGTGTCTGTACTTGTGTGTGATTATTGGGTTGGTGGAAAGGGGAAAGATTTGATGGGCAGAACTGAAGGCAGAGAGATTCGCACCCGAGAAAGCGCCCTAAAAGGTAGTTCATTGTCAGAATCACTTCCTGAAGGATGCGGACACACAGCTTGTGGACTGTGCCTCTCCAGTGGACGCCCAGCTCTGCCTCTTGCTTCAGATCGGGGTGGCAGAAGGGAAAGTGGAGGGCCTATTGCCCTGTGTGGGACAGGATCGAGCAGAAAGTCCTGTTCGTGAGAAGCCTGGCAGCAGGAGAGCCTAACTTTCCTGCTGTGTAGGCTCTGGGTGGCTGAAGGGGCTCCCTGGGGCAGGAACTTCCTTTCAATCACTTAGGCTTGCAGACACCTGCTTCTCTCTCCTCACCGATATTCTTCTCTTCACGGTGAGCACCAGAGTGGGCTGGCCCTGGTCTTCTTGCTTGTCTTTTATGTGTGTGTTGTGTGTTTGTGTGTGTGTGTGTGACACAGAGAGAGAGAGAGAGAGGGAGGGAGGGAGGGGGAGGGAAAGAGAGAGAAGGAGAGAGGGAGGGAGGGAGGGAGGGAAAGAGAAAGAAAGAGGGAGGGAGGGAGGGAGGGAGGGAGGGGGGTGTCTATTTACTTGAGGGAGCCACATGGCACCAGCCTTGTCCTGTGAAGTGGAAGGGGGAGTTGGGGCTGCCCCCTGACTTCCATATTGGTAGAATGTCCCCATACGAGGGTTTTGAAGGCAAATGGTCACTGGTTTATGGTCACACAGTGGGGGTTGTGAGGGTGCCGTGGGGTGAGGTGAGGAGTGAATTAGGAGGGCTGTGGGGAAATTGCCAGCAGGAAACCTTGTCTCAGGAACGGTTTCCATATTATCCTCAGAGCCCCCAGAGGACTCTTGGGGCTGTCAGGCGCGAGCACTAACTCTGGCCCGTTTCCCTTAAAAGCCACTTGAAGAATGTCACTTTGTACTTGAGTTTCCTTATAATTTCCTTCCTTTCATTCTAAATGAACACAGATGAGATAAGAAAATGATTAAAGTTATTGAAAGAGGGCTTATCAGACCCAGAGCAATATTTAGCGGCCCTGTTTTCTTTAAAATGGCAGTTTTGCTTCATAGTCTGAAGGGTGTTGGGGGCTGTGTGTGTGGGAGGGGGAGGGGTAATGATTTTCTTATTTGGGGTTAGATGCTTTTATATTCTTCTCCCAGAGAAAATGGTTTTCTGTCTCGACAGCAGCAGTTTCTTGTACCTGTCTCTCTCTGTCGATAGCCTCACTCATGCCCCATCTTCATTTCCAGCTCGGGCTCCTCACTGGACATCTGTTTTCCCCCTGGGTACCCCAAACCTCCCCCTCAGGGTGCCCCGCGGAACTTCCTCCTTTCCCCTTTAAGCCTGCCCGAGTTCCATGTTCTGTCTCAATTAGCGGCTTCATCCTGGATAGTCACTGCATTGCATTCCATTTCCATTTCCTTCTCCCCAGTGGAAAGCTGAGCTGCTTTCATCTCTTTCTTCCTTCCTGGCCTTTTTAATTAATCACCAAACTGTGCGTTCTGCCCGTGTTTCTTGGCCTGGTGGTGGTTTGTCTGTCTTTCCGTTCCTGTTGCCTGGCTCCAGACTGCCTCATTGTATCGGGGCAGTGACTGGTCTCTGCCTCCATTCCCTTTCTTGGCACTGACCGACCACATTGTCACCACAGTTGTTTTCTCTAATCCCATTAGTGACCCTCCCTGGTCTAAGCTCTCTGTGGTCTGAGCTTCTTGACAAAAATCTCAGCTGGTCAGCTTGATGCAGAAGCTCATGGCCGTCCCGAGTCCTCACCCAGCGCTTTTCTGCAACCCAGCCAGAGTTTATTTTCTATTTTCCGTGCTTTCCAATCAGCTTCTCATCCTGGCAAGCTCCTGCTCTGAAAACCATAGTCTTAACTCTGCCCTTTCATCTGTCAAGATTTCACGCTGTCAGAGAACCCATAGCACATACCACATCACGTTATAGCTGCATGTTTATTTATTTCCAGATTAATTATTTGAGAGTTCTGTTGTATGCTTGGCAGAGTTTTAAACATTGGTGTCTAGCAGTGGTCTTGCCTATAGAAAACTTACGTTAGGACATGGAGTTACTTAACATTGGGAATCAACCCTCTCTCTCTGAAAATATTTGAAGGCTTGTAGTTGATGTTTCATAAGCGACTAACAAAAGAATAAATTTCTATGTGAAGAGGGTTCCCTGTGGTCATGATATTTTGAACAGTGGACATGGGTGACCTGGACTGAAGTACTCTTTGGTCAGAGAAAGGCAGACAGCTGTGATTGTGGAGCGAACTCGCAAAGGAGAAAGCAGTGGTTGTGTGTGTGGACAACTTCTCAGAGAAGTTCACCTGTGAAGAACTGACTTCATGAAGAGGATGTGCAGAGTTATAAATAATTGTTTGTATAGCACAGCGGGTAGGGCGTTTTCCTGCATGTGGCCAACATGGGTTCGATTCTTTCGTCCCTTTTCGAGAGCCTGGCAAGCTACCAAAAGTATCCTGCCCGCACAACAGGGCCTGGCAAACTCCCTGTAGCGTATTCGATATACCAAAAACAGTAACAACAAGTCTCACAATGGAAATGTTACTGGTGCCCACTCGAGCAAATCAGTGAACAACGGGAGCACAGTTCTTCAGTGCTGCTCACAATAGGAGAAGTAAAGAGATCTGTGGAAAAGGAGAGTATTACTCCAGACAGCAGAAACAAATCTGGTGCATTCTTGAGAAGGTAAAAGGGGTGCAAGAACATAAGTGATCCGTGTTCTTACTTGGAGTCTGGGAGCTGCTGGAGGCAGCCTGTGTTTTGATTCATCCTAAATCCCTAGTCTTTGGCATGTGGCAGCTACTCACTCGCTGTAGTTCTGGATTTAACTTTCACGCTCGCTCTGTTCCTGTTACATTCTTGGGGTGTTATGACCCGGAACATAAAGTTAGACCACGATGGTTCTGCTTTCACGCTGGTGAGCCTTGGCTGAGGCGCCAGGAAGCAGATGACAGGGTAGATGATTGGGCGTTCGTGGAGGTGGATGAGGACAGGGTCACTGGGCAGAAACGGCCTGAAGGGGAGAGGGAGCGTTTCCGGAGATGGCAGGGAAAGGGAGCAGTTCAGAAGGAGCTACCGCTGTGGAAGAAGGCGCTGAATATCACGTAGAAAATGACTTGGCAGAGAATTTCAATAACTTAAATGTTCTTGATTTGCCTTTTTCTTTCCCACCCAACACACACAGTTAGCTTGTCAAAATAAACTCTTAATATTTTGTGACTTGCATGTTCTTGAAGTTCCTGAGGTTGTGTTACGTGATTTTGGCAGGAGAAATGTACAATTATCCCAGCATTGGGTGTTGTGACGAGGAAGGAC